TTTGAAAAAAAAATTGCAAATTTTCAAAATTTTGCACAGCAAAAACCAAGGCCCTTAGATACTTGAAAATTTAATCACATATAGAAGGGCTCTCAAGCTTTCAAACTTTTTTTGAAAAATTCGAATCCGTCAATTAGGAGAGCTCTGGCGCTTGTTTAAACATTGGTCGAATTTTTGTACTTATAAACAATTAGAACTTTGTGAATATTCAATCAAATCAAATTTTTTAAAGCAGGTTTTAAAAGTTCTTGGAAAGACGCTTCTTTAAAAAAAAAACAGAACGATTTATCAATTAGTTACGTAGTTATAGCCGTCATTTACACTAAATGTACTGGGACATCCGGGCTAATTTTTCGAAAAATACCTTTGGTATTCCGAGTACTTACCAGGTCTAAGATTACAATACCTTTCTTCATTGTCAACCTACTTTAGAACGTGTTTAAAGTTATTTATGCAAGAGAGAAATTCAATAAAATCGTACGGGTGGTGGTGGTGGGGGAAGCAGAGAGCGCGGCCGCTTCGGCCTGCTCGAAATAGAATCGGCTGTTCTATGTAAGTGTTGGATAAAATTTTGTATGACACTCTTGTGTTACGTCATATAAGTTACTTGGGAACAGACATCGTAGTTGGCTTTATTTATTTGAGTATAACTAATACTAGAATACTTGTTAGAATATTCAAAACGTTTTTTTGGCAAAATCAATTTATTTTATTCAAAACAGTCCCCTTCCGACTTAATACAGTGATTTTCATGGTATAAAAGCATGTCAGGATGTCGGTACAAGACTTTTGGATGGCTTCTACGACCATAAGACGCTTTCCTTTAATCGGCAAATGCATTTTTTCGAAAAAAAGTAAAAGGTCAAAGTCGCACTTGGAATCGTAAAAGCAAATCAACATTTCTTCGCTTTTGACTCTTCCGAATAAGATTTTTTGGTTTTTAGCTGGTCTGGCGCCTTCCACTCGGAACTTTGACGCTTGGTTTCTGGATCATATTGAAAAAACTACTTTTTATCACCAGTCACAATGTTGGATACGGAAGTTTTGGTCCTTTTTAGTCTCCGTGATGATGTCTTTCAAATGTTGAATTTTTGGCCGTCAGTCAACTTGTGCAGAACAAACCGTGTACAACGACAGCGCAAATGTTTGGCCAAAATGCGATAAATTGATATTTTTGAGATACTCAGTTCGAATTCCATAAATTTTAATGACGACTTTGACTGATCTTTGATGGATTCAGGGACAGTTTTGATGGAACTTAAAAAGTTATCTATCCTGGAGTAAACGTACATTCCCTTCCCAGTTTGTCCCTTAGACATATTTAACAATTTTAGCATTCTACATAGCCACCCACCCAATATTTGCGTCTCGTCTAAATCCTTTTGCATGTAAAGTAAACACTATCAAGCGTTTCAGCAATTAGTAGGTAGGCTGAAAGCAATTTGGTTATCGTCGAGCGGAGATATTTTCAGATAGGTCCTCGACAATGTAAACTGCCAAATTACCTAGACCAACAACGGCTGGCGTCGATGTCTTCTACCAACCTATCGCGCTTTTATTGTTTTACAATTAGTGTAAACATCCTAGAAGTCACTAAGAGTACTGATTCGTACTATGAATCAGCCGTGATAAATCACGGCGTTGGAAAACAAATAAATAACCAAAGCAAACAAATTGGAAGCAAATTTTCCTTCTAAATCTTCCTTATTCTAAATATTTTTATTGAAAGAAAGCCAAAATGACAACGTAAGTCAAAAATATTTATTGAACGATTTAATTTGGGCTTTTTTTGAAATATGTGGCTTAAATTACCTGTGAACTGAATTTATCTTCAGTTGTTAAAGCCTACTTTTTATTTTTTAGCAATCAAACTTGACAAAAACTGGGTAAATTTTATTTAAAATCTGACTACGACAGTGGATTTTGCACCTCCTCAATATGGTTTTTAATATTAAAGATTGTGTTGTGTTCTTTTTAAATGCCCAGTTACAATATTTTTTATATTTTAATGGATAAACCAATTATTAATTGCGAATAACAAAAAACCGTAGAAAAATAATGACACAACCATGAACACATACACAAAAATTGAACCATAATCTTAAATTTAATTTTTTCATTTGGATTTTTGAGCAATGGCTAACTTGATTAGTTTTATATATACAGGTTTTTTTTGAAAAATCGCCCATTTACATTAACCTCTCTATCTCTGTTATTATTAAATTTAGGAGAAAAAAGTTTGCAAATTATTTTTTCTATTTTTTTATGAGGAAGCTTTTGAAGTACTCAGATTTTTTTACAAATCGCACAGTTTTTCCGATATTACAAAAACAAAGGTTAAAGACTATTAAGAAATGTTTTTTTTAATTAAGTATTTAAATATACATATTTAAATAAATAGGTCTTTTATTTCTTTACAGAAATTGCATAATATGTATTTTTAAGTGTACTTTGTACTCCTATTTTAAGGAAGCTATCTAATTAATTTGTTTAAATAATGTTCTGTATTATTTTTGAGCTACCATATTTATAGCGCTTTGGATAAGAATGAGAATTGTTTAACAGTGTTTTTTGATCTTCAAAAGGCCTTTGATACAGTTAGTCATGAAAATCTGTTTTTAACGCTGGAGAACTATGGTTTCAGAGGTGTTTCTCTAAAACTATTGAAGAATTATTTATCTCAGAGGCAACAAAAAGTATGTATTAATGGTACTTACAGTGAGGTAAGTACAGTGGAATTTGGCGTGCCCCAAGGTACCGTTCTCGGACCAATATTATTTATTCTCTATATAAATTCTATCTTCTCCATACCAACAAGTGGTCAGACTTTCTCATATGCAGATGATACTGCAGTTTTTTATAAAGCAGATTCCTGGCTCTCACTGAAAGAGAAAGTAGAGAATGATCTTATTTTATTTAAAAATTGGTTTGACAGTAAATTACTAACTATTAATATCATAAAGACTAAATACGTACCTTTTGCGATTTATGCAAACAGATTACCGAATTTTGATAATTTAAAAATAGGGAACGAACAAATTATTAAATCAGTAAATAGCATAAAGTATCTTGGCATCGTCCTAGACTGCCATTTAAGATGGAATGAGCATATAAAAGCGGTAATAAAAAAGCTCAGAGGTATTTTATTTATTTTTAAGGAACTAAAAAAATATTTGCAAGTATGGCATCTAAAAATAATATACTTTAGCCTCGTAGAATCCCATTTGAAATATGGTATAATCGCATGGGGTGGAGCCTTAAATGCGCATATACACGATTTGGACGTTATACATAAAAAGTTTTTAAAAATAATGTTGGACAAAGGGAAAAGATATTCTACAAAAAAATTATTTGAAAATAGCGGTGTTTTAGATCTGAGTGTCTGGAGGCTCATTTGAGTCACAGTCGTGCAAGTAGTGTGTGTCATACGAGGCAATCTGCAAAATTATTTTTGCGGGTGCCAACAATGAATACCACTATGGCGCAACGTAGCTGGGTATTCTTGGGCCCGAGGTGTTTCAATTGTCTTCCTGAAGATATCAAGTCGCATACCTACCGAACGTTCAAATCACAACTAAAGAAATATTTGTTGACGACTGACAGGATTGTAATAAAAGAGTTAATTGATTTAAAGAATCATATACTGATATAGCTGCGTGATGATTTGTTTGCTGATCATGCAAATTTCATCGCTGTAGCTACTGGATAATTTGTTTGCTGATCATGCAAGTTTCATCGCTGTATATATATATATGTCTTTATGGGTTATATTACTTTTAGTATTTATTTTGTTTTTTTTTAAGAGTAGATATTATTTTATTATTGTATCTGGGTTCACGAACAGGTGTTCTTTCACCGTGTTGAACTCATCTGCTGTTTATTTTACTATTGTGTGTTTCCTTGTTTTATACTGATTTATGTGCAGGTGCATTTTTCACCGTTTTCAGCTTGTCTGTAATATATATTTTGTGCATTATAAAATTTATTACCCACTTTATTATAGAAACGTTGTAAAATAAACTTATTTATTTATTTATTATTTATTTGTCTTTATGCATATTTCAAAAATTTTCTCTGATTCCCTTTGAAAAACACGAATACTTACACGTATAAAATATATTATTTATTGAAATGTTACAATGTATATGTATACATAATTTCTTATTCCACCTTTAAAGTACTATGTAGTTTTCCTATTTCATAATAAAATTATACTTTAGATGTAAATACCTATATATCAACTTGCAAAACATTTCGAGACAGTTACAGAAAAAGTGTAAAATAACAAGCTTAATGTAACTTTGTTTGTACAAGGTAATTTTACATTAACTTATGTGGCTTTAAAATAATAGCTGTTTTACATTGACAATTTATTGATGAATAAATTGACGAAGTTCTTCATGAATTATTAATTCACGAATTTATTGGTAAACAGTGTGGTTTTACACTGCTACAGACTTTGTCAAGTTTTTTGACGCATGATTCAGTTCTACCAACGAATCAAAGAAGCAAATAAATTTCAAAAATGTCACCTTTCCACTCATAACTGTAGTGATACAACAGAGGTACCGTTTTGACACATATTATATAAATATTAGTGTTTGTAAGTAACAAATCGGTAAAAACAATGCAAAACTAGTACGACGCCACACAATTATTTATATATTCCAATAACATAACCTCATTCCTGATCTGAGGGTGGAAATCTGTTGGGTTGGCACTTCCGAACTTCACGAAGAAATTGACGAAAATTAGAACATGCTCTAATTCATCAAGAACTTGATGAATAAATTCATGAAGTTATTTGACAGCAGATTTGGTGCATTACACTTGTCCAACTTCTTGATGAAGCGTCTTCATGAATTAATTGATCAATAAATTGTCAATCTAAAATAGCTAAGTATAACCAATGATCTAGGAGTGGAAGTTACATACATTTTCATGTGTATACTACACTGTTCCAAATTTGAAGCCTATATTAGCAATATTAAAACTACAGGTATGTTTGAAAGTATGTCCTGTTTGCACACAGATATCTGTTTTGCATATGTAAAAATAACAAATTTTATTGTATCAAAACCAAAATACAACTAAATTTTAACTTCAACTAGCCACATTTGCGTCTCTCCTCCTCAAGTTTGCTTTCGCGAAGAATAAAACGCCAGTGCTGAACAGATATATAACCATTATGATTATGGAAGTGTTGAGGATACCTATGACGTCGAATAACGCCTCAGCTATCAGTGCAAATATTATAGCGAAGAGGAATATAGTGGCGTTCATCACAGAACAGCTGACCGTCTCTGGTACGGGATACGTCTCCTCCAAGGTATATTCGAAGCTGATTATCAGCCCGCTAGCTGCGAAGAATCTGGAAAACGATAATAATAGTTATTATCTTCAATTTTTCTGAAATGTTTTTACACTGCTTCAATTTAAACTATACTGCTAAGAAAATAAATAACCGTAAATATTTTCTTTACTGTCGCAGGTAACTTGAATATTATATCTACAATATGTCCCACTTTTCATGGAGCCACCCTAATATCTCGCTCACCTAATGTCCCAATATTTTTAAAATTAGGTTCGATTTTATAAATTTTAATTTAGCTACAGTTAGATGACCTGTTCACTTGTAACTATAGTAGGATCATATTCGATGCAAAGTAATAAATCATTGCCTGTCAAGAGATCCAGTGCCATACGCTTTTAAGGGTTTTAGAAATTGAATAATTTCTTTATACATTATGAAGGGAGTAGGGATCAGTTCACGTCTGGCACCCTTGTTCCTACAAAAATTCCTTTATTTTCATAAACTATTTATTTTAAATGTAATTTATTATAAATCCAATTTGTTTTTTAATTTCCACATATATACTACATTTTACCTCTGTACGCGTCACTGTTGTTTACTTGTTTTTTGGAGGCGCTCTCTGATTTACGATCAAGCTCGCCAGGTTAGTATTCGACGTATAACCGACCACTTCGTACACTCGATGGACCTGGGCGACTGCAGCTACTACCAGAACACAGTGCGTATGCAGCGGTATTTCAGATTTAACATTCAATTTCATTTTAAATTTGAAATGGTTCATCTTATGCCTCCTAAAAATGATGACACGATTTTCCTTTGATAAAAGACCGACAACCTTTTGCTCTACTTTGCATCGAATACGATCTACTATAGTTACTAGCTATCAATAAGCTATTTTAGCTACTGCAATTGAATTGTTTCTCTGTGACATCGTACAACTTTTTTCCTAATGCAAATAAATTTTCAATGTAGCGTAACCTTATTTTGTTTACTTAAACTGAGATTACACTGCAACAACACGTTGCAGGCAATTTATCGCTTGAGAATTACTCACCCGAATGTAGGTATGGCTATATAAGAGCCGACTTTGGACTTTACAGTTAAAACAGTAATCGCAACGACGTAAAGGATTATTGATGCCAACATAACCCCAATAGAGGTCCTCCTAAACAAAAACAGTACTTTAAAATTTTCGATAGCGACGATTTTAAAATCACTTACTTGAACTGGTGAGTTTTATCCAAAATTAAGCCAAAAATAACGCTGCCTATGCAACCACCTGATATAATGGCGCTTAAAGTTATAATACCAACATCGTGTTCTCCATCCTATAAAAAAGATTATAATTCATATTTTCTATATTTCACTCACTATTTGACTGTCTCTCTATGTCTATCTGTACAGGGTTGTTCTCATAACATTCTACTCCCCTTATCATTTTTACATTTCTATATACGAAAAAATGCTAACACCTAAATTTAAGAAAATTTTCTTGTGATCTCAAAGAAATATGTTAAATAAACAATTTAATTGCATTTCAGAGAATATAAAAACTTTTGTTTTTTTTTAAGGAACATTCTGTATATTTGTAATTTTTTTGGATTTCTCTCTTTTTTCTGGCCATAATGATATATATGCTCTCTACTCTAAGACGGCTACTCCTATGAATCTCGCTTACGGTGACGGCCCACTAAAATTATTTCAGAAACTACTTCGATTTGAATTTTGAAAATTTGGGATATCGGGTTTTCGGGCACGCCCTTCTCAACTAAAATGATGGCGTCCACGTACCACTTCCGGTTATACCGGAAGTCGCCATCAACTTGCTTATTTTAAATGGAAGGTTTTCTATATTCCGTAAGTGCTTGAATAGAATTGAAGTTACATTGATAGTACAATACAACCATATTTCAATATGTGAAAATATTATTATTATTCAAAATTATAGTTTTTCAAATCACAGTTAACTGTAACAATTTTCAAACCAACAGTTATCTATAAAATATAATAATAAACAATTTGTTAAATGATGAAATTACTGGGATAACACATTTGTTTTCATAGCGTGCTACATTTAATTCACTTTTCTCTAAAGTAAAAACCAATATTATAAAAATGTGTGTATTTTGCTTAAAAGAAATACATTATATTTATTAAATGATTTGTAGTTGAAATGTCTACAACAATTTCTACGTTAACATGAAAATGTTCACATTTTTTGTACCAAAATAGTAAAAAAATGTTATAAATATAAAAGATAAAGGTAAAATGTAGTATATCGCATGAGAGGAAAAAACGAGCAATTTTTTGTAGAGGGCGCAGCAAATTATATACGACATTTTAAAAATATGTATACACTATGTGAAAGATACCAATTTTGCCATGAAATTTTATTGAAATAAGTTTCCTCTTAAAACAAAAAAGTTAGACGACCCTAAACTTTCGGTACTTTTCCGTTTTTTTATGATTATTTACAAAGTTGGCCATGGATCTCAAATTTGTTTTTACAAGCACCAAGACCTCAAAAAATGCAACAAAAACATATAAAGACTTTGACGCGTATTAAGCGAGATACATAGGCGTAACCCTCTTTATAGTCGACAGCCTGTATAGGTACATGCGAGGGTACATGTCATATGTTTGCTTCATAGTTTGGTTTATTTATTTATCCTGCACATTCTATTGAGTTTGCAAGAAAATTTCTTAAAATTTTAATATTTACCACTTCTATATTATGTATAGATGAAAAGGTCAAAAAAGAGAAGGGGTGTAGACTATTACGTGAATACCGCTGTATACGAGGCCTGTTCAGAAAATAACCGTATTTTTTTAATTACGCTCTAATATAGATATTTAGTGATAAGCAGTTGGCAGCATTGCGTTGCGCATAACCTCCTCTGTAACCACATGTTCTTGGATTGTTGATATCTCATTTAGTTTTCGTGATATTGTTATCTGAGTGTAACATGTTGAAGTGTTAGTGGCGATTTTTGAAATGTGCGATTTTCTGGAACAACGATGCACGGAAAATTTTGAGTGAAACTGGGAAAAACTTTCACGGAAACGTTTCAGCTTTTGAGACATGCTTACGGGGATGATGCTCTTGATGGTACGCAATGTTACGAATGGTTTTCACGATTTAAAAGTGGTCGTCAGTCAATTGTCAGAGAAATTGCAGAGGTTAGCATCTCAACTGGTTGATGCTATGAAATTTTGACTGAAAAACTGAGCATACAACGAGTTGCCACAAAACTTGTTCCTATTTTGATCGACAACTCCTTGAACAATCCAATGACGATGAAACATTCACTCAAAGAATCACAAAGGAATACAATTAATTAATAATAAAGTTTAAAAAAATACAATTCGGTTATTTTCTGAACAGACCCCGTATTATTTTGCTTACAGGAAAGTAATGCGTGTAGATGGTGTTGATCACTATTCCAAAACTATTCCATATACTATTGAATATCCCAAACGATAGCAGGAGCAACAAATAATTTTTATTTTTTACCAAACCCTTAAAATTATGGAAAAATGGTGGCAGCTCTTCACCCTCTTGTAGGATTTGTAACTGAGACTGACTAGGTGGTATGTCCGGTCTTGCTCTGAAAACTATATCCATTTAAGAAATTTTTTGGCGTGAGTCACTAATTTTGTTACGTACATACGATTACAATGACGAATACCACGCAGGAAAGTATTGCGTTGACCATCATCATGTTGTATAGGTTATCACCAACATCCGAGTCATTGTCGCTTTTTACTAAGAATGGAGGAAGAACAGAACCAATTGCAGCACCTAAACATATACGTCGTCAATTTCTGAAGCTTTCTGATGTCACCTGTTAGATTGCAATAGGCCCATTCAGTAAAAAATTTTTATTGCATATTTCAAAAGTTTACCCTTTAATTAGTTAGTATGCCAAAAATCAATTTTTTGTTTCAACGAGAAATGTGTGAAATAAATTAATGAAAACAGAGCGCGGAAAAACGTTGAGCAACCATTGCCTGACGTCATAATAGAGCACTCCGCTCACGCTCGCTCTCTTCCCATTCTGTGTTAATACATACGATATGTGGATCGATTCGCAGTTTCGTTAATTATTGTTTTTATGTCTAAATGGGTCGAAACCGAGGATTGTACAAATATTGTATAGTTCCAGGCTGCAAAAGTACCTCAGGATCGACTCCGAATAAAATATTTATTTCATTACCGAAAAATGAAAAGTTTGTGTGATGTTATCCACGGTTTCCCCAGCCACGGTATGCAACTCAAAACCACCTTCGTTTTTCTTTGGATGCACGTCTAGGGGGTTGTAAAATATTATTATTTGAACATTTAGAGCACAATTCTCAACTTTATGCCGGAAATAAATTCTGCCCCATCTAAATGTTCGTGTTCACAAAAAATTCGAAATACGACGGCGACAGGGACCTATAAGCAGTTAAGAACCACTCTAGTTTTTCTTTGGTTTTCCATCTAGAGGGTTTTAAATATTATTATTTGAACATTTAGAGCAGAATTATAAAATTTATGCTGGAAAAAATTTCTGCCCCATCTAAACGTACCCGTTCACAAAAATTTCGAAATACGTCGGCGAGAGGGACCTATAAGCAACTCAGAACCACCCTCGTTTTTCTTTGGTTGCCCGTCTAAGAGGTTATAAATATTATTATTTAAACATTTAGAGCAGAATTTTCAAATTTATGTCGAAAAAATAAATTCTACCCCATCTAAACGTTCCCGTCCACAAAAATTTCGAAATACGTTGCGAGAGGCACCTATAAGTAATTTATTTAAATAATAATATAGACGGGCAATCAAAGAAAAACGAGGGTGGTTCTGAGTTGCTCGCACATACACGTCGTCGCATACATCCACAAGTACCGAGTATAGTACGTTGGGTACATTTGTACACAAAATGGAAGGCAAAAGAAAATGTAGAAAAATGAACCATTTACGTCATTGAGAAAAATCCGAAAATGTATTTAGATATTCCAAGACATTCTATGTTTATAATAAATATGTTGTGTGAAAAATGCATTTCAACAAGACTTGATGTATATCTCTTATACACTCTCTATTTATACACTTAAAAATATAGGTATATAATATAGGTAAAAGTATAGCAAATATCTACACATCTCTCCGTCTGCTCGCGACTTGATCGCCGAGTGGCCGGTATTGTGACGTCATTAGCTGTTCTCTCGCAGCGTTGACCTTTTTAAGGGTCTTACAAATTCAGAATTAAATATATCACTTATTATTAATCCTATTGACCTAATTTTTTTAAGATATAATGAGGTGGTTAAATACTATCAGAAAATTAAAGAAAAAGTTTAAAATTAAATATCACTGAAAGGGCCTATTGATGTCATGTTGAGTCAATGTTACTATACATGATTAGAAATAAAAGGTGTTAGAAATTTGACTGCCTTAATTTTAACAGACGATAAAATAAGCAAAAAAAAACTTATATGACATGGGTCCTAAACTTCACCATTTCCGAGAAAAAAATTATCAAAATCTACAACTTATTGTATAAAAGTTCGATTAATTAAGGAATATTGACATAACTACGTGCATAGAATACCATAAATAAAATGTTTATCACTTTTTTTAACTTCTTTATGCTTAATTCTAAAAAATTAGCATTGATTGAATTTAAAATTCTATAAAATTCATATCGAGCAATGTGACAACGGCGCAGCGGTTTATTAACACGCAATTCAGTTGATATCTAGATTCGACGGTGTCGGAGTGTTTTTTGCGTACCACTATTTCCTTTTCTTGAGGTGTTTTCCAGCGAGTGCACAAAAATTGGATTCGAACGTGTCGTGCGTGCATCGAAAATGGTGGTGGACATTTTGAGCATATGTTGTAGTTTAAAAATTACTGAATTTTGCTTTTTGGGAAGTCCCTAAATTATTTTTAATATGTATGATCATTTGGACGACGTGAATCTTTGGGTACCTACTTTAATTACCTATATATTTTTCAAATTCATAATTTGATTAAAAATTAAGTTCCTGTTTTAAGGGATTCATAATTACTAAAATTCGAGCTAAAATTTAAGCACAACACTATCTTCGTACTACAAAATCGATTATTTATTTAAAAACTGGAGAACAATTGTATTGAAATTTACTAAATGTTTCATAATAATAGCTGTTTACATTTTTTCCGTAGGACAAGTCTAGCGCGTGTGCACGTGGGGTGCATCGGCAGGTTAAGCGCTGTTGTCACGTTGTGATGAAACTCCCCAATATTAATACTTGCTGTATTTTGAAAACTGTTAATCTTATGCCCCTGTAATATACAACTATTTTGTTCATTTATGATTACTCTATCTCATGCTAAGGTAATGGCAGTCAAACTTCTTACACCCTGTATAAAACAAATACATGGGACTTTAACTGTGTAAATAAAAAAACCTATACATATGTCAGTACATAGAATATATTCTTAATGTCTGACATAACACACTAAACTTCTAGTTTAAAGAAATGCTATGTAACACCAGTTATGTATCGAACAATAACAAATTTGAAATAACTTAACGTTACTAAAGAAAATTTATTTATGTAACTTCTAACTGTTTTTCTATTACTAAATAAAAGGTGGACAGTGATATCAGATTTTAATTGACCTTCCTATTAATAGATGGCACAATTACAATAGTTGTCCGCCAAATTAGTTTTAGTTTCCTATATTTTTTTAAATTTAATTTACTAATTACCCCATACAAAAATAAAACAATACAGTTTTTTGTCACGTTTATTCATTTATTGTTAATATCTAAAAAGGTGGCGAACACCCTAATAGGTACTGTTATTTTTCGTCCTATTGGGAAATTTACTATGAAGATACATTTTAGTCCATAGATGTAGCCATTACTTAATAGCCACTTTTAAGTAGAAGCGACTTTAATGGCAATTGTCAAATTAAGGAATAACTAATAGGAACTTTATTCAATAAACTTAAAGTAACTTTAAATCATTTCCGTTTGTATTTGTACTAAACAAGTCTTAGGTTTGAAAACAATCTAGCATATGTAGTTTTAATGATAACTTGCAAGATTAAAATCTTAAAAAGCCCAACTTTTATGTAAATGTCATATATTTAGATATTATAATACATAATTTAAATACAAGACTACAAGTGTTTCTTCTTTGTTTTTAGAATATCTTCTCTTACTATTTAACAAAGTAATTTATTAGTTAACTAATTATGTTTACTTCTACCAAATTTTAAACGTTTACTGTTAATTTATGCCCTTTTAATATTAAAACACTATACGTTTCGTCAGTCGGAACCCACAAGACATGTTGGTTTGAGCGGGACTATCGCTCTTTATGTCTTTACTCAGACATGGAGATAAGTGAACACCAAGCGCAGATGGTGGTTCCATCTGTGAACGGTCAGTGTTACTCACCCAGGCAATTTAATATGGTAAATAAGTCTCGTTCAAGTCAATCAGGATTGCTGGTAACTGATGAAGGTATAATAAAGTAAACATGTTCATATTTTATTTCAGTGCATTTGTAGCAGTAACAGTTTATTTTATATTCACCATTCCTAAAGTTTAATATTAAATAGTCTTGAAATGTGTAAGACTTACTTTTCGTTTATTAAATTTAAATTGACAACTTTCAAAATTATGAGGTTACCTATAGAAAATAAATAAATAAAAAATTGATTTCCTAACAATTCTTTTGCAATTGTTTTGTAAAAAATTTATAAAGTTTTACCTAGTTGCGTTCCCAAGACTGCTATGGCGCACGCAGTAGACACTTCGTTCGCACCAAACCATACAGAAGCTACCTTAGAGGGGATGCTTAACACAAAAATTTGCCCCACTGCACAAAACGCTTGCCCAATCATTATCACGTAAAATTTGTTTGGTTCAGCACCTGCCATTTTAACAACATTTCCTATTAATGTTAGACCAGTGCTGATGATCAAAGTTACTTTCATGTTCTAAAACACAACATAACTTTTAGTAACCATTAAATCTTTTAGGTAGGACAAATGTGTATAAAATAATTTGATTACTTATATACTATTTAATTCAGAGATGACTGCTTACATATCTTTCGATTGAATAGCTTACTGGTAAGAACAGTACTATGTAAGCAAGAAAAAATATCAGTCCAGTGGCGTCCACTGCAATAGTATCTACATTATAAAACCTAAAAAAAATAAGCGTTTTATTATACTTGCGTAAACAAATAAAGATAAAAAATAAATGTAGGCTTTAAGATTAAGTTTCATTTGACAAGTTTATGTTTTAACAAACCTTATGGATACATCAATTATTTATCTGTAAAAAAATATTTGTAAAAGTAAATATTGAACAAAAAAACGCACTGTAACAGTATTATTCAGTGCATTCTATTAATATTTTCTTGTCCATCTAAATAATCTATCTTTATCTATACGTATATGTTGTATTTTTTATATTAAGTAAAAAAAAACGTAAACGCATTTTATTAATGTGAACTATGGTCAAAACTCTGCTTATCGAATATTATCACACCGTTGAATACACTTGAAATAATCCAAAATCCGATAAATCAGTCTCACAAACGCATTGTTTTACTATTTATTTATCAGCCTTGGGATATATTGAATGAACAGGAATTAAATAAGACAATTCAATGCCAATTTATTATTTTAGGACGAAATCTACAAACTTTTTGGTGACGGCTTTGTAGCCATTGTTTAGACGAGGCACACTTGTTTGATTAACACCATGTGGTTAAAGTTGCACGACGCTAGGCCTCTCTCGATTCTGTAAATAAATAATGTGTGAAATTGTGCACGTTAGGGGACAGCCACATAAACAAAAATAGAAGTTAAGGTCGAAGAAAGATCTGGGAATCAAAATATGTATATTGTTTGAGGTATACACAGGGTGAACGGAAATTTCGAGTACAAAAATGATGTGAGAAATTCACATAACACTTCGTTTCGAAATGCCAACTTTAACCGAGCTACATAACCTCAAAGGTCATTTTTTAATCACTTTTTCCCGCTTAACCTCTTTGACAGTGATTCAAATTTGTCACACTTATAACATACGAAAAGATGTAACCTTGAGTAAAAAATCATAGGAATTGTCAAGCTCCAAAGTGCCAAAAAGGTACTTATTGAATATGGAAGTGAATAGAGCATTTTAATTTATAATTTTATGAAAAATGTGAGAAGAAAATTTTCGAGAAAATCGATATTTAAAGTTTTGGACTTTGTTCATCTACGTAGAGGCTGAACAAATTTTACCCGAGCTTACGCGGATATTGCCATCTGGGACGATATTCCCAGCAGAATGACAACCTTAGAAGTGTATTTCTATCAAAGCCAGTTGGAATAATTTAAGATAGCTACAGAAAGTTCCAGAGTGGGGCAGAAATTGACCGTTTTTTAAATTGTCCTTACTCAAATCTTTCATAAACACCAAAATCTCGATAAAATTAGATAAAATTCATATCGAGCAATGTGGCAATGGCGCGGCGGTTTATTAGCACGAGGTACTAAGGTGTCTAGCAACCACCAATACGCAATTTAGTTGGTATCTGGATTCGACCATGTCGGAGTGTTTTTTGCGTACCATTATTTCCTTTTTTGCGCGAATATTGGATTCGAAGGTGTCGTGCGTGCAAAGAAAATGGTGGTGGACATTTTGAGCATATGCTGTAGTTTGTTTTATACTTCAGCTACAAAATATGTCCAAGTACAGCAAAACAGTTTCAGATCATTTTGAAATGGTTCACAATATCTTTAGAATTCAAAAATATACCCCAACCCAGCCATGGACTACAGGGTCGTAAAGTCCCCATAGTTCATCGGCCGTTACGTGAGAGCGATAAAGAAAGTCATAGAAATCCGTGCGATAGAGAAAGATGGCTATATTGAAGGCGTCTAGTAGTCACCGCCCATTTCGCCCTTCCACAAATAAGATCCACATCTTATTTGTGGAAGGGCGAAATGGGCGGATTTCTATGACTTACTTTATCGCTCCACGTAACGGCCGATGAACCATGGGAACTTTCCGACCCTGTATATACAAATTCGAATCGCACTTTAAATACATTTATAAATATGGAAAAATATATCACAATAAAATAAGAAATACATTTGAAATATACAAAAGCTAGAAAACGGCTAAATACATATGTTGAAATAGATTTAATATAATTAAAAAATAACTGGAAATATTTCGAAACACATCGAAAATTTACAAACTTGTCTAAATACTTCGAAATGTCAAAGGTTAATGACCCCGAGGACTAGTGGTTAATATATACCTTCAGGTGCAGTCTAAGGATATTTTTCCGGTCATTTAACCGATATTTAAAAATTTCTATTTCGAAGTATTTCCAGGTATTTTGACGTTTTGACGGTATTTTGAGGTTTTCAAGATTTTTTGAACTTTTGATGGTAGATATTTCGGCATATTTCAAGGTATTTCAGGTGTATAGACGTATTTAGTTATGAAATATAAATGTCATAGTTAGTTGTAACGAATAATACACATTACAAGTATGTAGATGGCGTTAAAAAAATGTATGGCATGTATAAAAATGTATAAAATAGATATAATAATGCATAATTCGAAAAGTTTAAAATAGAAATAGAGATTTCTACAGGGTATTGACTATTGACATATATGTTCAAGCTATAACCTCCATTTGTTTAATAATTTTGCACCCCTCAATTTTTATTACTATTTGTGCTCAAAGTGAAGGACTAATACATTTTAGATGGAGATGCCTTTACCGTTAGTAATTATTTTATCACATAATTTTAGGTAAATTGTAATTGACTAATATTTTTTATATAATAGGTCTGTTCAGAAAGTAACCGAACTTTATTTTTAGGTTATTATACAGTGTGTCCCGTTTTTCAGGTTAATACCTCTGGAATTGTGAAGAGACTTTCCGCAAAAGCCTGGCCTACTACGGTTTTTTAAAAGGGTAGTTTTTACAGAAAGTAGTATTAGGCATTTTTTTTGTTAAAAAGATAATATTACCATTCTATTCAACACCCAAATACCCATATATCAAATTTGAACGACAAATGTCTATTGTGTGTTTTTTTATGTGGTGCCAAACTTTGAAAAATCAGACAGCAAAAATTTATAATAAGCAGGTCAAAGATTGCCATGAAAGTGAAAACAAATACCAATCGGACAAAGAAAAAATACAGACACTATAAATTTAACACTTTTAATTGTGGCTGTGGTAAAAATAATAATTAACATACAAAAAATGTAGTTAATGAATTATAAATATTAAGTTGTTAAACAAAAAATTGCAATTCGTAACATCGCATACGACGCAGAGCATCATCTCCGTAAGCTTGTTTCAAAAGTTGAAACGTTTCCGTGAAAGTTTTCCTCAGTTTCACGCAAAATTTTAGGTTGGACCGTTGTTCCAGAAAATCCACATTTAAAAAATTATCACCAACATTTAAATAGGTTGCACTCAAATAATAATATCACGAAAACTAAATGAGATAGCAACAATCCAAGAACATGTGGTTACAGAGTAGGGTATGCGCAACGCAATGCGTGTCACCAAATAGATATTTCAAAGAGTTTAGTTATTTTCTGAACAGACCTGGTATGTACTTATTAAAATGTGACTTTCCTTAAAAACAGTAACTCTTAACAATTATGTTTCAAAAAGCTGCTTCAACGTTTCTTGCGTTTTGCTATGTTTACAGGACATTTAAGAAATGCTGAATAAAATGTAAATACAAACCACTTACTTCGTTACTATATTGGCTATTATGGTAAACTGCAGGAACTGCATAAAATTGACTATCGTGCTTAAGCAAAAGATAAGTAAAACCACCCATCTGTATTTATACACTTTTATGTCAACTAACGTAGCTGTTTGTGCATCCATTTCCATTATTCACTTAGCACAGATTTTTAACGATCCCATCACCTCATCTTTTCACGTAGTTGGCGGTATCTGAACAGCTATAAAATAAAACACACTCGTTATCATAGCTACCCACGTTTTATAATAATGATTGTGGATTAAGATCTGATTGTAAGTTCAAATTTGTTTTGTTAAATATTACTATCTTTTTTTAAAGGAAGATAATAATAAATGATATAAATATTTGATATACCTACATAATATAAATGGAATTTATTGTCAGGTATTTTTGTCAGTCCGTTGTTTGTTTATTTTTACGGATTTAAATGCCACATGTCCCGTGATTCATAGGAAGTATAATAGTAATCAGTTGTTATGTAAAACAAAATGTAGATAATACAAATAAAACTAGTCACCGCACTACCGCGTTGTAAAATAGTGAATCTCTGGAAACTTTTAACATTGAAAGATGAAGGTACAATTGCAATTATACGAAATTATAGCAGTAAGTATCTACTCGACTCAATAACAACAATATTTAATTAGGTACATATAAAGGAGGAGTGCCGGTTTTCGCCCCTATCAGAAATTTATCCTAATCATATGGAATATGTTTTTTGGACCTTCAGAAACAATATTAAATCGATTCTAGGCAAAATGCATGCAACGCAAACATTGAAAACTGCTTAAAAATGTAATCTGATGTACAGAATCATATAAATATTTTTCGTGTATAATTTAAGTAAAAACACTTTTTTGTAATCATAAAAGTAAACTTTTACTCTTTTCCCCCTCTATCCATAACCTCTAAAAGATACTTAAGTAAATGATTGAATATAAAAGAAATTCTACACCATGTAAAAACATTTATTTAAAGGTCTAGAAAAAATAATATTCTACTAGGTTTGGCTATAAGTAAACCTCCAAGCCGCCAGCACCTCACAGGGGACTCACTTTAAACCAGCACCCCAATCAGTGAGAGGTAAGGGGACTCACATCAAACAAAAAATATTGGAAATGAACTGTAATATTATAATTAAACCCTATTTTTATGCCTGTTTATAAAAGTTAGAGAAACAAGATGGAGGTACAAGGAAAAAAAAGATATACGGGATGGATGCTCGAATGGAAGGATGTGAATTGACCTATTTTTAAACTAGAAACATTTCAATATTGTTTATAACGAGCGTTCAAATAAAAACGTGGTCAAGTTGGTTCTGAAAATTTTGACGTAGGGCGTAGCGTATAGCAAATGAGCTTAAACGTCATCTGTCAAAGCGCTATATCGCCGCTATCAATTTGAATATTTTCGTTTTAAAATGCGTTTAAAATGGTATTTTCTCAAGAACAAAAAGTGTTTATCATAGAGTCCTACTTTAGAAATGGACGCAAGATTGATGGAATATGGAAGTATTCTATTGAGGAATGTTTCATAGAATTTCAAAATCAATTTCCCGGCGTTGTTGAGTACAAAATTTTTCAAAGTTCAGTTCAGCGTTGTGTTAATGTTTTTCGTGAAACGGGCAGTGTAACAAGAAAAGAAGGAAGCGGCCGACCTAAAAAGCGGACTGAAGAATTAAAAAACACAAATAACGGAAAATGCGCCAAGAACTTCTGTACGTGTTTTATCACAAATGATGGGAGTATCAGTCGGTCCCTGCCACACAGTGTTAAAAAAAGCTCCTTTAATTGTTTGTTATTGTTATCACGATTATTCTTTAAAATAAAGTTATATAGTCATTAACGTTATTGAAACTGACGTTGAGAAATGAGGTTAAGTTGGTCGCTATAAGCTACTCCCTACGTCCAATGTGTCAGAGCCAACTTCGACCACGTTTTTATTTGAACGCTCGTTATTAGACTGACAGATAAATGTTTTTGTGAAATCTCTTTGATATTCTTCAGTATCTTTCAGGGGTTACGTAGATGGGGGAGAAGGGTGGAAGGGGCAGAGGTAAATTATTTTTTATGACTACAAGCAAGTACCTATATTTTACTTAATTTGTACAGGGTGAGTCAACGATTGGTTAAAGTAGATTTGCTCCGAATTGCTAAAGTTTATCAAAAAACTCACGAAATCACGAAAAATGCTCCACTACACTGTTAAGCGAATATCTCCAGAAGTATTGAGTATAGGTATAGGACATGGTTAACAAAAGTTGTTAATTTTTAAAAGATCTAAAGGAATATTGAAAAATATACAGGGTGTTCCATTTAAAAAAATTAAGATTTTTTAGTTTAAACTTCTTCAAATCTGTCATTATTTTACGAACACCCTGTAGGCACTAATCAAAATTTGAATCCATGACGTTCTCAAGCCACCTTTACGGTAATACTGTACCAAAAATCTTGTTTTAATTCTTAAAAATAACGAGGATAGCTACTGTTAAATACAGGTAGAAAAATGCAATATTTTTTATTTAGTTCCAATTATTTCAGAATTTATTAAATTTAGATATAGGAAACTTTATATCAAAATGTTTCAAATTAAACGTAGAATCTAAAAATGTTGTAAAATACAGGGTGTTCCATTTAAAAAAATGTAAGTTTGGCCTGCCACAAATTTTTGGAGCACCCTGTATATTTTAAAATATTTTTAAAATGTGTCCTGTTAGCGTACTTATCACCCTGTAGAAATAGTTTTTTAATAAGCTTTAGCAATTCGAAGTAAATCTACTTTAACCAATCGTTGACTCACCCTGTACACTAAAAATGTAATTTATATGATTCTGTGGATCAGATGTAAGAAAAATGATTTTATTACGTTATTAAGAATTTTTGAGTGTTTTGGGTGAAGAGGTTTAATCCGTTTTGTCTAGAATCGATTTAATATTGTTGCTTTAGATTCAAAAAACATGTTCCATGTTATGTTTAGGATCAATTTCTGATAATTATTCTATACAATAATTTAAAGTTAACAAGCAAATTATATACCATTCCTAAACAAAACTGTTATACAAATCTAAACTACTTTCTACTCACCTCAATGTACACTTTCTCTTGTTCATGTAAAACATTATTTAATTAATACAAACTTCTTGGATCTACAGATGAATGATAAATAACCTTACAAACTGTAAATAGTTAGTGTTGAAGTCATTTGAAATTATATTGCTACCTTGTAAATTGCTGATTGTGTGTTAAGGTCAAAACCGTATCTATGAAGACGTAACGAAACGTTCATGGCGTTTATACAAGGTATTTTGAAAAGGTGTTACAAATTTCCGCACTTAAGAAAAAAGTTTCTATATGAGTATACAGAGTAATCTTAAATGGGTGCATATATTTGAATTAATTAATCTGTAACGTAAACGAGTCCAGTAAAATATATATTTTTTTTAATTGCAAATATTTATAGATATTTTTTGTAGTCCATAAAATAATTAAAATCCTGCCCGGTGTTGGTTGCTGCAGTGATTTAAAGTTCGGGATGTGTGACTCTTAACAGATCCGTACTCAGCTCACTTTCCCATTGTTCATTTTAGTTCTTTGCTAGATTTTGTTCCGACTGCTTCAAGTTTTTATTTTATACGTCTGCATAAACCACTATGAGTTGTAAGACAGGGTGTGTATTTAGATATTTATACAAGGTGTTCAAATTTATAGATGTACAAACCATGAACATGACTAAAAAACAGATATTTTTTTAATAAACCATAGAAAGGCACATATTTGGAAACTATAACTTTAAACTTTAAATCCTACTGTCCCACAATTTTCTTTTCGGGGACAAAATTGTATTAGTGCTTTTTTATCAGAAATCTAATAATATCTATACTATACCGTGCCAATTTTTATCAAAATACATTCATTTTTAAACTTACATAAAAATAAATAAAATATCCTGCTACATTTTTATTTTGATAAATAATTTTATTGTTTTATGTTTTATTTATTTAATTTCTTCTGAATTAATGTTGAAAAATTGTTTCTCGGGCATTCTACTGTAAGAGAAACAACACAACGTATATACAACTGCCGAAATATAAGCAATAGACAAGATCTGGCAAAATGAATTTTAGCTTTATTTTTTAGAATCAAATTTTAGGTTTTGAAATTTTATATCGAAAAGTTGCTGATTGCGTGGCCTTTTTTTAGAATCAAACAAAAGCCTGTTTAGGTTTTAAAATTTAATTTTTTTTTAGAAAGAGGGTCAAGCGTAGAGCTTGTAACCCCGGGCCTCGCCATACGTTAATCCTGACTAGAATATTATTATGTTACGGTAAGAAGTTAAACTAAACATTTAATTTTTTTCAGCACTTGCTTAACTCAAAAGATACTAATTTTTGAGTGCTTAAATCCCAAGAACGTCACGATAAATTAATGTAATAATAATCACACCATTTGATCTCTCTAATGGGAGGAAGTACAAGGGGCCCAATGGGGCCTAAGTGCTGTAGCTTTCTAAAATCCAAGGCGTAAAAATCCAGGTGGCATTTAGTGTAAAGACAGAAATTGCAAAAAATGTAGATAATTTAGACGTAGCAATGCATAAGTGGTCTAGGTTATGCGTAAATAGTGAAAACAGCGGTTTGCAACTCGTTTTCTATTAATAAATGTTTATTTGGAATTTAGCTTTTTTATCCCAAAAAACAACAATTTATTATTCGTTTTACCCAGTAAGCTATATAGCTTTGTCTGTAGTAAACTGAGTGTTTAAAATAAATGTACACATTTAAAATTCACTCTGTATGTACGAAAAGTGTGGCAATTTGGAAATCTTTATTTCTTTAACTTTATCTTTGCCTGTAGAAACAATTTTTAAGGATTTTCAAATAAACAAAATCAATTAGACACTCTATTCGATTATTTTTTAAACATTTTTGAGAAAAGTATATTAGTTGACCTGCATAAATTTTTCGATGATACCATTTCTAGTTATGGGGTCCATTAGCAAATAATTTTTATAGTCAAGTGGTGAACTCAATTGAATTACTAAATCATTTTCATTATTATATCATTTTTAAGAGAATGTCCCATTGTTCATAATGACAATAGTGGTTACAGTGTACATCGTTTCGAATATAAACCTGGTATTTTAATATTGAACTAAATCACTAAATCTTTTCTACTGCTCACACTTCTATAAACTTGTTTTTTTCTCTATCTACTGAAAGTGCACACTTAATGTTTGTTGATAGTATTGTAATGGCAATGACTACAAAATTAGTCTCAACGATTACGGCAACTTTCGTTGAGTTTTTCGCAGTCTCTGACGCCTAATCTTCAAGTGTAGACTACTCTAATGGCAATAATTAGCATGTATCTCTGGCCATTCCAAGTACCATTTAATGTTCCAAACCAAGACTAGACGTCTCGTACGATGGGCTTGACAGTTTGCACGATACCGACAGATTGTACAGAGTGGTCGCTCTTTTTACATCTCTTAAAAGAGTAAAATAAAAATAAGA